TTTATGTCCAAGTCTAGTTAAAATTTTTTTACTGGGTTTCTTAAATTTACTTTTCGCTTTCTTTGAGTTTTATTTTGTCCTCAAGCTTTCCTGGCCTGATGCCTGTAGGCCAGTTTCGTGTGAAAAGAACCTTTTGTTATAAAATGTGGGCAGCTGCTTCACACACTGACCTGCTGCTAGAACGGCCAAGCGTCAGGAGGGAAGCCCTGGGGGTGGGCTGCGAAGTCCTCTGGCCTCCCTGCTTGCACGGTAGCCCGCCCTGGCTTTGGGGAGAAGGACTGTGCTCTGGAAACCCGGGGTGGGGAGGTGGGGGTGGTGGTGGGGGTGGATGGTGGCTGCAGCTCCTCGCCCTGCTTCGGCGGCGGCTCTGCCTTTGGACTGGGGAGCCTCACTAGCCAGCTCCTCCCTGTGTTCACGCTCAGCCTCCGCTCCCGGCCTCAGCTCCCCTCCCATCCCCAAGGCTCCTTTGAGCCACATCCCCCCAGCTTTCAGTCTCCGTGCCCCCCCCCCATGAATTTTTGGCCAGGAGTGCCGGGGCAGGAGTGCGGGGCGAGGGGCAGCCTCCGGCCGGGTCTGCCGGTCCCTGGGGACCAGCTGCTCCAGCCCACACACCTTTCTTTAACTCCCTTTACCTACGGTCCTTGCCCCCTTCTCCCCCTCCCCCCCAGCCGTCCCGTTTTGGGTTGTTCATGTGGAGTGTGTGTGTGCGCGCGCATGTACGCGTGTGCACATGCACATTCTCCCACGTGCCAGGCTTCAAGCTGGGCGGGGGCAAGCCTGCAACCCGCCCTTCATCTCTGGTGCAGAGGTGCTCCGATCATCTCATTGTCGGTCTCTCCCTTCCCCCACTTCCTCCGGAGACCCTTAGAAATGGAAACAGTCCTGTCTTCCTCAAGCAGGCGGCAGCCCTCAGGAGTAGCTGGGGAGTGAAGTCTGGGGATAGAACCTGGAACTGAGGGGAGTGTACAGTTGGCCTCAACACTGAACCACTTTTTTTAATCAGAATCGTGAGTGGGGATAATGTCCAGTGGTGTCCAGTATATAATAACATAGAGAGAAATAAATCATGGTTTGCATCTAGCGTTTATTTCCTATAAGCTGTTCTGGCCCCAGAGCTGCCCTGTCCCATATGGCAGCAAGGAGACGCAGGGTGACCACGTAAATTTAAACTAAGAAAACCTTCAGCTCTTCAGTCACAGCAGCTGCAGTTCAGGTGCTTGTTAGCCTGGACAGGACAGCACAGATACAGAACCTGCAGTCACTACAGAAAGTTCTGGAGGGACAGCACTGTGTCAAGAGCACTGGTGTGAAAACTTTAGAAACCAGAGTAATGACTTCTGATGAGGAGGGCAAGAGCAGGCATGCAGAATGTATCACAGTGCATTGAGGAGTATTGTCACTGAGAAGGTTGAGGATTATTTCTGGGATTCTAAGACCCCAGATTTCTGAGGTCTCTGGGTCTCACGTGCTGTATATATTATTTAAGATTTTATTTATTAAAGAGAGAGACAGAGCGAGGCAGAGACACAGGCAGAGGGAGAAGCAGGCTCCATGCAGGGAGCCTGACACGGGATTTGATCCTGGGACTCCAGGATCAGGCCCTGGGCCAAAGGCAGTGCTAAACCGCTGGGCCCCCCGTGCTGCCCCTCTTGTGTTATTTCAGCGCGCTTGGTGCTGTACTGTGTAGTCAAGAACAATGGTTTCAGGCAGTGAGATCGAAAAGCTTTGGAAAAAATGAATGCACATGGATTATTTTGCAGGCAGGCTGTAGACGCATACAACCATGGAGAGGTCTTTGAGAAGGGTGCAGCTTTTCAGATCAGTGGTTGCACCATGAGTGATCAGAAGGGGTCTTCATTTCAAGAACCTTCTGCAGTGTTCTGAGGGGCTTCTTTTTGATTTGTCATCACGAAATGTTGTCTCCCAACCATGCTATCCTCAAAGACAAGTTTGCTTACCATGGAAAGAGCATATTTGGAGAGACTGCTCTACTTGACAGCAGGGTGGGTTTGTAGTAGCCAGAATTCTACAGATGACCCTCAGGTACTGTGGATGATCGCCTGGCCCTTTGCATGTGGGCGGAAGCAGTCTTACCTATACAATATCACTCATAATTATGTTATATAGTGAAAGGGAGATTATCTGGGGGCAGCTAATCTGTGTGAGCCCTTTCAAAGCCATTCTCAGGCTGGTAGCATAAGTTAGAGATGCAAAGCAGACGGACTCAAGGCACCACTGCTGATTTGAGATGGGAGGCACCACAGTTGCCTGGAAGGAGCCAAGAGAGGCCTCAGCCGACAGCCAAGGGAATGGGAAGTACAGTCCTACAGCCACCGAAACTTGATTAGTCAACAACTTGAGCGAGCTTGCAAATAGTCTTCTCCAGCAGATGAGAGCCCAGCCCTGCCAACACCGTGATTCCAGCCTTGTGAGACCCTACGCTGAGAGAACTCGAATCAAGCCTGCCCTGACTTCTGGCCTGCAGAACTGTGAGATAATAAATAGGTATTGTGTTAAGCCTCTGAATTTGTGGTGATTTGTTATGCAGCAATAGAAAAACATTGTATTTCAAAGAGGGGAGTGGGAAAAGTCTTCACCCTTGATTGCCTATAGTTAACTTAGAGATCTCTATAACCACATGAATCAAGTCTTACACTAGCAAACTTCTACCTGTTGGGCCTCCTCTGGGGTTTCTCTGCCAGAGAATCTCAAGTAGTATTGATTGGAAGTTTGTTGCCAAAAACTTGAGTATCTTAGCAATGTTCTGTAAAGAAACTGCTAGAACGGGATTGTTCTCATTCCAGAATGAGGACCCAGTGTATATGGAATCTTTTTCCTGGGAAAGGTAATACTTTGTACTGATTTAGTCTGCTCTGAGCCTGCTCAGTATATTATTAAAAGTTGATGAACAGTGGCATTTTTAAAGAAGGATTAGGAGAGGAAAAAAAATCTGCCTTTAGAGATCGGATAATCTACTCTGCATCGAAGAACATACTTTTTCTTAAAAAACTAAAACTTATTTACGTTATTGTGTAAGCACGGATCAAATCCTGTATGTGCCAACCAAATTTTTGTACTTTGCAAATATTTTCCAAAATACCTCTAAGACATTAATTGCTAATGAAGTTTGTATTTTATTTTGGTTTGTATTTATTTTTACTCTATTGCCATACCCTTTATAGAAGAACAGCAGAGCTAAAGGGAAGAAAATAGAGGCTAAGACTGTCAGAAAGTTAGAAATTGGAAGTCATAATCATCTTCGTGTTCTAGGGGAACTCAGATAACCCAGCTCTTTCTTTTATAGAAAAGTAAATTTTTCCAAGCTATGTAGCATTATTTATAGTGTGTGAAATTTGATAGCTGTACAGTTTTAATTACTACTTTTGATATATGACATGATAACCAGTATGCTTATTTCTTTAATGCATGTGAACATACAATGCTGAAAAGACTATGACCACAGTATTAAAAAAAAAAAAAAGGACTTGTTATATATATATCCCTGTCATCAATACCTTCTTGCCTGAAATACTCCACCTTTTTGGGGCACTAACTAGATCATTTTCAAGGAAACAAACAGGAAAGAGCTGGCAGTCCAGTGTGTGTGTGTGTGTGTGTGTGTGTGTGTGTGTGTGTGTGTGTGAACAATTTAGAAGACATTGTCCAAGAAAGTAAGCTGGGTATTGAATGGAAAGCACTTTGTGAAAAGTACCATTCTCGGTGTTGTTCATATTGCAGTAAAAATGTTAATAGTGGTGCTAAATTTGTTCTCCAAGTAAGGGTTGTTTGTTGTGGGGAATAGCTAATGACACTCTTGGACATGAGGCAGGCTACTTTGTGTCACTTGCTCCTGGGTTTTTTTTTTTTTTTTTTTTTGCTATTTATTAATAATTAGCAAATCCCTCCGGAGTCAAAAGTTCAGTAGTTTGGTTAGACATCTATTATTTGAAATGCTTAGTGTTTGCTGATATTGGTTGAAAATACCTTTTGAAGACTTATTCTTTGAGCCTTAAAAATGGCTGATATGGATAGCACTGTAAGGTAAGCAGATTTAACACTTTTCATTTCAGTAAAGACAGTGATGTTTTCTAACAAAGATTTAAAAATCAGTTGACTGAACATAATGTTTCATTTATGGAATGAAAAGCTAATGTGTTTCTCATTGAGAACACTGTTCGGAAAGGTTGTAGATGTTTCTAGAAGCACCCCTTAAGAAAAGGTGCTTGAGGAATTGCTTTTCCAGATTGTACCAGAATTTTTTTTTCTCCTTAAATGTATTGTACATATTTTCCTGAAAATGTTTTCATTGGGTGAATGGTAATATCTGTAGTAGTATTTTAGGTGCCTGTTAGATTTTTAAAGGAAGTCATTTTCAAATTTGCTGCTATAATTGAAAACCTAATAACTGGTCCTGTTGACTGTGCCTTTCATTACTGTTTCTCTGTGCCACAACCGTTCATGTGTTTGGAATAAAGAAGTTTAAGAAGCCATGTTGAATTCAAGATTCCTTCTAATAAAAATAGATAAAACTTAATGAGTAGTAAGTTTTATTATTAGTTTCAACACTGATACAGGAATTTACCTAAAACTAAAACTATTTTTAGTTACGTGGGTTTTGGAGAGGACTTCAAAGGAAAAGACACTGATTATCAGGGTTATATAAGTGTTCACTCACTCTCACGTATACTAAGGAGAGTAGCCACCATGCACCACTTCAATCGAATATATTTTGTATAGAAAATGTTGTAAATGATGATTTTATGTCCTATCGTACAGTGATTCATCTTTGAGTTACGTTACAGGTCAAGGAGACTTTCGAAGGTTATCCTAGAATCACGTGGTCTACACAAATGTTTAAAATACAACCTCTTAGAAAAGGGGGTCAGACTACGTACCTTGTCAGTAACAGTGGTGGGGAGCATATGATGATCATCAAGTTCTCCAAATGGGATTTCTTTCAAAAATACTTAAAGCTTTATTAGAATGAATAAAATACATGCTTTAGTTTAAAAAATATTTATTATAGAAATGTACATTTAATTAGTTTTAAGGAATGTACCTTGACAATGGTGTCAACATATGTATTTTCTCAAATTTGCAAACTTTACACCTGAAGATATCTACAAAGATAGTTTATTTACAAGTTTTGGAAGAAATCATTTCACCCAGAGTGCTTGCTGCTGGGGAGGATGGAATAGTTTCAATACTGCTTTCATTTCACTCTGTACTTATAGAAGGAACACAGTGTGTGGGTAAAGTTCCATCCTAGTGCTAGTGACAGGCCGTAGAGCAGAATGAGAGGTGCAAACGGATAAAGAAGAATAACTGTATTTTTCAAAAATGGCAATGCTGTAAAAGAAAAATTTATTTTTTAAAAAAAGGAAATATGACTAATGAACATTCTGAACGTTATTACAACAGGTGAAGCCAAAAACAACAAAAAACCCCCCTGCATGTTCTGAATTGGGGAAACGCTGCTCTAAAGCCAGAGTCTGCTACTTGCTCTGCTGCTGGTGCCGCCACCTCCTCACGGCTGACCAGAGGAGCTAGTCATACTTGAGCACCAGGGGTGTGTATTTACAGCAAGGTTCTCATCATCCAGAGTGACAAGAAAGGACAAGCCGGATTATGTTTTTCATTCATACTACGAAAAAGAAACTTCTAGCAGGATTTAACAGTAAATTTGCAAACTGCGTCCTCAGGCCAGCAGAGGTTGGGCCTGATTTGTGACCATCTGTAGAACCACACAGTGATCGTAAAAACAAAGGGAGGCAAAGGTTTAACACCTTGAAATACATTCATAAGGGTGCCTTTACCTATGTGACCATATGTCAGCTCCAACTCATGCCCCACTCTAAGCCCATGCTGGGACCAAGAATGGGAAAGTCAGGGAGGAAAGGAAATGGGGTGTGGGTTCCTACAAGTAACCTGGAAATATCAACATGGTTTAACATGGCTCCTTAAAATTATAAAACTTGTTACATACCAACCATGCCACTTTTTAGCTGCATGACCATTAGTTTCTGTACCCTCGTCTGAAAAAAGGGGTTAAGTAAATCTAACTGTGAAGATTAAAGTAAGCTAATTATGTTATTACAGCAAAACCACCCCACCTCCCACCTATGTTCTCAATCAAAACTGTACCATGACTTACCACTGTATCCTAGGAAGGTTACATAGATGTAATAGCCAACTGCCACCAACCATAAGGTATTTCCAACTAAATATCCAATGAATGTATCCGTCAGGATAACATCTGCAGAAGAGAGGTGTACAATGAATCTCTTTTCAGGGCATATAATGGTGACTTTTTGATGTTCATTTAAGAAGTAACTGCTACTTACGGTTGATGAAGAAAAGCTGGATAAAATGCAGAATGACTAGGAGAGGATAAAAAGCATTCAGATGCACATCAAAGGCATAGCCCCATTCCACATCATAGTCTCTGCTTTGCCGTTTCACTAAATACTTGTTAGAGATAAACCTAAAGAGCAAAGTTAAAATTTCTTTCATAATATAATAAGATTAATTCCAAGCAGTATTCTAGATACTGGAGACAATGTGATGAGCAAAACAGATCTCTGCCTTCCACCTAGTTGGAGTCATCAGATGGCATATATGGAGAAAAACTCAGCAATAAGGAAGGATAGAAAATATAAAGTTGAAATGCAGTGTTAAACAGGATAGTCCTATGAAGGTTAACACCTGGGTCAGGACCCAAGGGCAGGGATGGGAATTACCCTCATTCCAGGCAGAAAGGAGTCTGAACACAGAACTGGAGGAGGACGGAGGAGGGGGCAGGGTGTGGCCTGTTTGAGGCTGGGTGAGGAAGCCACCTGCTTGGAACAAGTGAGAAAAGCAGCAGGACATGAAGTAGGGAGCCAGAGCTTATGGAGCCTGTGGCCATTTTAAGACTTTTGGCTTTTATTCTCGATGAGATAAGGAGTCACTGCAGTTCCCAGAAGGATATCTGACTCACTGTTTTGACACGGTTTCCTGAGACTGGATTTGACTGAGAACAGGTTACAGGGACAAGAGGGAAACAGGGACACCCGTGGGGGAGGCTACGGCGAATGAGAGATGAGCAGGGGTGGTAGCAGTAGAGGTAGTGACATGGGGGAAATGCTATGGTTGGAGGGCAGCACCAACAGGATCTGTGTTAGTACTGCATGTGGAATAAGATAAAAGATGAACAGTCAAGGATACCAAGATTTCTGTCTGAAACCAATGGAGGATTGGTTGAGCAAGATCAGTTTGGGGCAGTGCAGGAGTTTGGATGTAACCTGTGATGTTGAAGATGCTGGTTAACATGGAGTAAGAAGTATATAAAGTCTGGAATGTAGAGGAGAGGTTGAAAATGGGAGATACAAACTCATCCATGTATAAATATTTAAAGCCATGGGCCTGCATAAGACCCCTCCCCCCTCCAAGAAATGAATGCAGACACAGAATAGGTCCAAGCCTCACACCTAATAGGTCACCTCTCCATTAAAAGCTCAAGGAATCAGGAGGAACCGGTAAGGGAAGGGCTGCCAGTAACCTCTCTAGCCATTAGAACAATTCTTCAAGCTTCTGTCCTTGTTCTGCAGCATAGCCTACCAGCTCAGTTAACTGATGAGTGGATGAAAAAGCTTTTAGCTCACGACTCAAGAGCTCTCATTCTGTGGTTTTCCTCCTGCTGCTCCTACCCCTTTGCTTATTCCTTAAATGGGCACTTTCCAGGCTTCTGTCTTCACTCTGAGTCTTACCTCTGGAACACAGACATGCCTTCTGGGAGAGCTCAAGACATCTGTAGTTTTCACCTCCCACCTCCACATTTAATAATGCCAATAATATTCTCATCTTGGCCCAGACTGGTAGGTTCAGAGTCATCTACCCCAATGTCTACTCTACCTTTATTTCCACTGAAGTCCTCAAGACACCAGAACTCAGCATGTCTGACATAGAATGCTTCATCTGCACCTGCCACTTTTTCCTACCCTCATCATACCCGATTATCGTAGAATGTTCTCAGATATGGATCTGCCATCTCTCTCCTCTCTTCCTGAGTTCATCACACTGTCTGGGCCTGCTCTGCTCTTATGCAGACCCCCACAGTTGTATCCAGCCACACCACTCTCCTTCAGCTCCTTCACAGCCACAGAAGACTTTACTTCAAGTGTAAATCTGATATTTCCTTATTCCAAAGCCTCCATGTTCTCCACCTCTCCTCCTCTCCCCAACCAACATATGCAAGCTATGAGATAAAGTCCAATTCTTTTTTCTGAACTGCACTGAAGGCCACATTCTATAGTCATGTATCTTCTTGAGCTGGTGAGTGTCACCCTGCACCACTAGACCCAGGATGTCGTTCTTGTGCATCAGGACTCAATGATCCCATCTCCCCCAAACACCTCCTCCTGCTGATTCCTTGGCACATCTGGGAGGACAGCAACTCATGTCATCATTTCTAACACAGTTCACAACACAATGCAACAAAATACAGGTTTTGAAAAATATACTGAGTCAGTCCCTTTTCTTTTTTTTAATGAGTAGGCTCCATGCCTAACATGGAGCTTGAACTCACAACCCTGAGATCAAGACTTGAGCTGAGATTAAGAGTTGGAAACTTACCCGACTAAACCACCTCAGCACCCCCCACCCAGTCCTTTTCTACTTAACTAATATGGACTCAAACTAAAGGTGCTAAACTCCAGTATGACTTGATTTCTATGGCCCTATAGAGTCAATGTTATAATGATGGAATGCCTGCTACAATCTATTCCTTTGAAAGCCCTATTTACTGAAACTGTTTCATCTGCCATGCTTTTTGATAATGAATATGTAACTTCTATTAGTTAGTAGTATTCTTTTTACCCCAAATGTTAGAATTCCAAATTAATGACACATACCATTTATTGACTCCCAAGCACATACAAAACTTATACTAGTAAGGCGTTACAAATGAACACATTGCTATCAGAGGTTAAAGTCTCAGGACTTTATTTAAAATGTTAATAACTACTATTTATTGAGCACTTCCTATATACCAGGTACTTTTTATACCACAATCTTTTCAAATATCTTACAAATTAGATCACTAACTCCATTTTACAAAAGAAACTGGGACTAAGAGTTACAGTTAGACTGGGACTAATGAGCTGGCATGTGAGCCTAGGCCTCTCGGAGACTAAAATTTCCGTAGTGTATTCTCTGATACATGATGCCCACAACCTCTACTCAAACACTGGCCTTTTATGAACTCACTTAAAACATCCAATCCCCTCATCTGGCATGCCAACCATATTGGAGCCTGCATCTATGAGAAAATGGAAAAACCAAATGCTGGATTTATACATTTCTACTCAGTACACTACCCGTTGTTAAACCAAACCCAGAAGTCAGACTATGTACCTGTCCAGTAAAACCTGTGTGTCTCAGCAAGACGGCACCAAGTTTAACAAATCCTTTTTCAAATGTCCTTCATTTAAAATCTGATATTCAGAGTAAGATTCCATAAAATAATCCTCTATAGCTTAAACATCTAGAAGTGACCCACTGACAAATAAAGGTGAAAACCATGCCATCATCCAATGTAAGAAGAATTGGCTAACTGCATAATATTTTTGCAAAACCAGGGACTTTGTTAATATAATCATTATTTCAGTTCACTTATTTGCTGCACTTTGACAATACAGACCACCTCTTATTTTCTGATACAAATAGTGACACGGGAGGGCAGGTTCTCATAATCCTAGCAATCAAAATTGATGCTTTCAGGAGACCGTCCAAGATGGCGATGGAGGGACTCTGAACTCCCCTCCATGGACAAACCAAACCTATACCCACATATAGAGTAATTCTTCCAGAAAAAGAACTGAGGGCTGACTGAACAGCTTCTGCACAACAAAGGACAGAGGGACCACACAGAGAACATGAGAGACAGAGGCACAGAAACAATAGGAACCCCCCACTTGATGCTGTCAACTGTGAGGGGTGGGGATAGAACCAAGGAACCAGGAATAGACTATACCACCCTAACGCATGGAAAAAAGCCCCACTGTAAAAGGGCAACTAGGATTCAAAGGAACCAGTCCTTGAGCATCTGCCAAATGGCTGGGACCTGAGGAACTGGTCTCCAGGGTTCAGAGGGCTGGCAGGTGCCACTGTGTATGTTCCCTCCCCCACCAGGCCCAACACTGACAGCGTAGATGGGAGCGCAGGATACGGCCACCCCAGCTGGCCTGCCACTTCAGTGAACCCTGGGACCCTATCCCACACCAGCCCAACTCCCACTGAGGTGCACACAAAAGAGCAGTGGTTTATTTTATTTTATTTTTTTTTTAATTTTTATTTATTTATGATAGTCACACACACACAGAGAGAGAGAGAGAGAGAGAGAGAGAGAGAGAGAGGCAGAGACAAAGGCAGAGGTAGAAGCAGGCTCCATGCACCGGGAGCCCGATGTGGGATTCGATCCCGGGTCTCCAGGATCACGCCCTGGGCCAAAGGCAGGCGCCAAACCGCTGCGCCACCCAGGGATCCCAAGAGCAGTGGTTTAAAACACAACTAGAATATAAAAAAACTAACCCTCAGTCAAATGGCCATGGCCTGTGGGAACACATTCTGGGGCCAAAGGGGCCGGTAAGCACCACTGCTTATGTCCCTCCAACCCCCACCATGCCCCATCACTCAGACTGCAACAGGGCACAGATGCCCTAACTGCCCAGCACTTGAATGAGCCCCACACCCCTAGCCACAGCAACTTTAGCTCCAATTCTCCCACCAAGGCCCCCACTGTGCAGAGCACCCTGGAATCACCAGCCTAGTTCGAATCCAGCTTTCCCAGCAGGGCACTGCCAGCCCAGGCCCACTTTAGTTTCAGGCGTCCTGCTAGGGTATGCCCCATGTGGCACACCCAGAGACCCCATTCTAGCCATGCCTGCTACAGTTCCAGCCAGCCAAAGCCAAAAGGCATACACAACTCTACATGGGACAGTCCAACACAAGACCAGTCCTTCAAGAACAGGAGAAGGAGCTGTTCTGCCTAATTCATGGAAACAAATACAGAAAGTAAAACAAAATAAGGAGATAGAGGAATATACTCTAAGTGAAATAACAAGATAAACAATGTACCTGATAAATAGTACAAAGTAATGGTCAACAAGAAGCTCACCAGACTTGAAACAAGAGAGGGTGAACCTAGTGAGAACTTCAACAGATAGAAGAAAATATAAGAACCAATCAGAGCTGAAGACTACAGTAACTGAAATGCAAACCACACTAAAGAGAAACAGCAGCAAACTAAGACACAGAAAAACGGACTAGCAATGCAGAAGGCAGGAAATGGAAAGCAGCAAAACTGAACAAAAAGAAATAATTAAAAACAAAAATAAGGATAGATTAAGAAGTCTTTGGGACAATATCAAGCATATTGACATTTGCATTATAAGAATCCCAGAGGGGGGGGGGGCGCAAAAAAACTTACTTGAAGAAATAATCACT